TCGTCCATACCCAAACCTCTGTCATTGCCTTTCAAATTCAGAGGCTGCTTGGCCTGATGGCTGCAACTACATCTGTTCTCGTCTTTGCAAGACTAAAACTGCGCCCCTTACAACTGTGGTTCATCCGCAATTACGACCTGTCGAAAAACGCACACACTGTCGTCCTATCCCCTCTGCCCCGCACACATTGTCGTCCTATCCCCTCCGCCCAGCATACAGGACACTTTACTTTGGTGGACTCTCCCTTTGAATATCCTCCAGGGAGCGCCCTTCCACCCTCCGTCGCCTGGCGTCACCATAACAACGGATGCTTTCCTGACAGGATGGGGTGCACACTCCATGGGCCTCTCTGTTGGAGACAAATGGGACGCACAGATGAGGAAGCGTCACATAAACTTCCTAGAACTACTGGCTATACGACATGCTGTAGCCAGCTTTCTACTGTTGATCAAAGGAAAATGTGTCATGGTCCTCACGGACAACACCACAGCGCTTTCCTACGTCAACAGGCAGGGAGGCACAGTGTCCCTTCTCCTATGCAACCTTGCCATCCAATTGTGGGACTTATGCATTGCCAACAATATATTCCTTGTGGCCACTCACATTCCCGGTCACATGAACGTGCACGCAGACCACCTAAGTTGAGCGGGACTCAGCCTCCACGAGTGGGGGATGAACCCAACATACCTCTTCCCACTCTTCCACAAGTGGGGAGTTCCCCAAGTCGACGTCTTTGGAACATGAAACAACAAAAAGTGTCCTCTGTTCTGCAGTCGAGGAGGCAAAGATCCACAATCTCTGGGAGACGGCCTCCTTTACCCTTGGTCTATGGGACTCCTTTACCTGTTCCCCCCCTTACCTCTGCTCCTGAGAGTGGTCTGCAAGATTCTCAACGATGCCGCGGACTGTGTCTTAATAACTCCATGGTGGCCAAGACAACCTTGGTTTTCAACAGTCCTCGAGCTATCACAGAGAACTTACCATCAATTCCCTCCGGCTCGGGACCTCCTCCTCCTCTCCGACTCCCCCGTCCTACATCACGACATACCACAGCTGAAATTGATGGCATGGAGGATAATGACACCGGCTTCTCCGCCCGTGTAAGGAATGTCCTGTTGAATTCCAGGAAACCCACTACGCGGAGGTCCTATGATTATAAATGGCGTAGGTTCTGTTCTTCGCTTGGAGATGACGCCCCTCGAGCCACCTCTGTGGGTCTCGAACGAGTCTTCCGATTCCTCCTCACCCTAGCTGACTCGGGACTTTCCCATTCATCGTTACGAGCTTATTTGGCCGCCATTTAGGCCTACCATGTTCTAGTTGACAGATGCACTTTGTTTTCCCATCTGATTTCAAAACGTTTTTTAAAAGGTTTGTTACCCCTCTACCCTCCTGTCAAAGCTCCAGTCGCTCCTTGGGACCTTCCCCTCGTTCTCCGCCAGCTTATGCGGAAGCCATTTGAGCCGCTTGCAACATGCGACCTCAAACTCCTGGCATGGAAAACAGCCTTTTTAACTGCCATTACCTTGGCTAGGTGAGTGGGAGAAATGTTGGCCTTCCGCCATGATACCCCTTTCCTGTCGTTCCTGCCAGACGGAGTCCGCCTCGTCCCAGACATCTCCTTCCTGCCGAAGGTGGTGTCAGAGTTCCACCTGCAGGCGGAGGTCTTCCTTCCTGACTTCTTCCCAAATCCATCATCAGCGGAAGAAAAGTTATTATACACTTTAGACGTGAAACACGCTCTCCTGTTCTACGTCAACAGAACACTCCCAACTAGACAAGATTCACAACTATTTGTCTCGTACGCTTCTCCACGGCTGGGCACTCGCATCACAGCCCAGTGCCTGTCGAAGTGGATTGTAGATCTGATTCATCTTTGTTACCTACTCGCTAAACAGCCATTGCCTGGCCCTATCAGGGCTCATTCTACCAGGGCTGTCGCGACTTCCACTGCCTTCCTTCAGGGAGTATCCTTACCGGACATTTGTAAAGCTGCTACCTGGGCTACGCCTAACACCTTCATCAGGCACTACACCGTAGACGTCCGGAAGAACTCTAATACCAACATGGGACGTCGCATTCTATGTTCGGCTACGCAGTAAAAGACCTGCCAGCACCCTCCTCCAGGTAGGCTACTGCTCGCTAATCTCCCATGGGTGTGAAGCACAGAGACCACGTCGAAGATAAGCAGGTTGCTTACCAGTAACTGGTGATCTTCGAGTGGTCATCTGTGCATTCACACCACCCGCCCTCCTTCCCCGCTGCTGTCAGCTTCTACATTTTTGAATAAGGGTTGATTTGCGGCGGTTTGTAGGAACTGGTGGGGTGTCTGCGCCCACCCCTCTGGACATGCACGGTGGGGTTCCTGCGCATGCCCAAGGGACTGGGCGCGAAAATCCATTAAAAGCGCTTGCTACAGCACCGATCGATCCAGCACGTGCGCACTAGATCCCATGGGTGTGAATGCACAGATGACCACTCGAAAATCACCAGTTACTGGTAAGCAACCTGCTTTTTCATTTCATTCCACAACAAAAACCTTGGGTAGCTTTGTCCCATATAGTACACACAAGGCTGTTACACACTGTTCTGGTTTGAATAGGATGAGCACTCAGTTTTCCAGTGCTATCCTAGGGTAATGGCTCCATTTTAGGTCATGTTACTTGAGAAAAAGCTACCCTTGCTTGGAGCACATGCTCTCTCCCATTTTCTGGCTGTGCAGTGTGGTCTATCAATATAGTGCAAACTTTGAACATACAACACTTTTTAGAAAAAGTGTGTATTGGAACTAGTGAGCAGCACCTTTAAATATAAACATTTGGTCCCCCTCACTGCTGATCTTCAGGAAGCTGTTGAACAGAGTCTTGTTTAGGACTGCATATGATTGATTTAGCTTTTATTTATTGGCAGTCAAAACTGGAGTTTTTAAACTGTGACCTTTTATGTGTTTTTATAATTGTTGTTTTAGTCATAGTGTTTTATGGAGTTTTTATAATTATTTTATTTTGTGTTGTAAGAAGAAGAAGAAGAAGACGAAGAAGAAGAGATTGGATTTATACCCCGCCCTTCACTTGGAGTCTCAGAGCAGCTTACAAACTCCTTTCCCTTCCCCTCCCCACAACAGATACCCTGTGAGGTGGGTGGGGCTGAGAGAACTCTGACACAAACTGCTCTTTCTTAAGGACAGCTGTGCCAGAGCTTGTGACTGACCCAAGGTCACTTCAGCAGGTGCAAGTGGAAGAGTGGGGAATCAAACCTGGTTCTCCCAGATTAGAGTCCGCGCACTTAACCACTACACCAAACTGGCTCTCAGGCTACCTTGAGTTCCACAAGGGAGAAAGGTGGCTAATGAATGAATGAATAAATGAATATTTGATCTCCTGAGATTTTTTTTTGGGGGGGCATCATCAAGTTGCAGTTCTTATGGCAATCCCATAGAGTTTTCAAGGCAGTAGATGTTCAGCTGTGGTTTGCCATTGTCTGCTTCTGCATAGTGATCCTGTTATTCCTTGATGGTCTTCCGTGGAAATACTGATCATGGCCTACCCTGCTTAGGTTCTGAAATCTGATGAGATCAGGCTAGCCCGCGCTATCCCAGTCAGGGTTCTCCTGAGATAGTCCAATTTAAACAATTAGTATCAGTTTTTATTTGGATTCAAAACAAAATTAACCACCAAACAAATGTTGGTGGATAACGCATGGGAGCAATCAGAGTGTTAAATCATTGTGCTTGAGTGTATATCTTGCTGAACTACTTGTGTGGGTTTTCTTGACTACCTGCTTAAGAAGAAGATAGAAAAAGAATATAGTACTGCTTTGCTGATAATGTAGAAACAGTAAGCTCACTAATTATATACAATTCTAACATTTACTGGACAAAGAATAATAAATATGATTTGTTTCACGTATTGATGTTCTGCTTTCTGTTATAATAGATGGTGAAATTTTAGCCCCCATCTAAGTATTTGTGTATTTGCTTTTGAATAAGAAATCCTTTTCCTTAGTGCTACATTAATTGGCAGATGATCACTATCTTCATGAGAAGTCTTTTTTCTTTGCTGTGAAAAGATTCCATCCAAATCAGTATATGAATGAATTTCAAGCTATTAAGATGTAATGATACACCTGGAATATTTAACCATAAATTTGAAAAATCTCGATGAGCAATCTCAAAAGAATACTTAGAATGTACTCCTTGTAAATTGACTCATTTTCTTGTAATTTGTCAGAAGTGCTGATAGGAGTTCAGCCATAATGTGGAAAGTACATTAATCCCTGGAGTTACATTGTGTGTGTTAAATTATTGCTCTTGGGCTATAAAGCCCATGAAGCCATTTAGCCTTCAAATCATACCTGTTACTCATAGCATTACAATTATCATTGCCATTTTGAGGCAAGAATTGAGGCATGATATATTTCATTTCTTGCAAATGAGATAAGCAATAATATTTTTAAATTTTGCACAATATTTGACACCTTGGTATGAGTGTTAGTGCCAAGACAGTGTTGATAAATAATATTTTTAAATTTTGCACAATATTTCTGACACCTTGGTGAGTGCTAGTACCAGTGTTGATCCTTCTATAGTGTTCAAGCTTCTTTGCCCAAAATCCAGAAATCTGTTCTTCTAGATCTGTTCTCTAGTTGTTATATAGATTAGTTTTCCCTTTAATTTTCTTTCCAGTGTTCATTCTTTAGCAGTGTGCCTGCTTGGAACATACTGGGAGAACGACAAATTCAAGGGCTGATCCTTGAATATTTATTACTCAAAAGTAACTTGCATGTGGTCTGCTTTGAGCCCCTGATTAAAATGGTACATGACTGTTGATGGCATTTTTTTTTACAGGGGAAAAGATACGTGAAACAGTACAGCTTGCTGTAGGAAAATTCAGTGTTATATGGAGCAGCTCTTTATGACAACTGGGAAGCTCATCATATTGTCTGTTATTGGCAAGAGAATATAAGAAATAACCAAAACTTAACAAAAGAAAAATAAAAGGTTACATGGAAGATTAACATATTAATATGGAGTTAGACTTCACCAAAGATGATCTGCCCCTGATGGCTAATACTAGCCACATTCTTGTAAGGCATTATGTGTTGGACCTGGATGTGGACTTTAGAAGCCATGTTATTGAGGGCAACATAGTTCTGTTCTTTGAAACTGGCAGGAGATGCAGGAAAGGAAGCAATGAACAGGTGGAAGGTGTCCATCAATCTCAGTTGGATGAAACCTGTCATAATCCGGTGCATCAATCCTGCTGTGTTCCTGTGCCAAATGCAAGTGCCTCCTCAACTAAAAGTGGATGTAATGATTTTCCTGTCGTTGGTAAAGGTGAAAATGATACTTCTGATAAAAACGGTAGCCATGGTAACACGGAACAGGCTTCTGGGATTTCTAGTTCAAAGAACTGCTGTGACATTGAGATTCATGGGAGTGAAGATTTTTTGCTGGTCCTGGACTGCTGTGATTTATCTGTGTTAAAGGTCGAGGAAGTAGATGTTACTGTTGTTCCAGGTGTTGAGAAATTTATAAGCTCTGCAAAGTTAATGGATGCTTTTGAGGATCCAGGAGATCTTAGGAATCAAATTGTACACGAACTTGTGACATTACCTGCAGATCAGTGGAGGGAACAGCTCCACTATTACAGATGTTGCAGCCGAGCACCGGCTTGTGGAGAGCTTCTATTTGTTAGTGGCCCTTGGAGCTTGGAGATCAGGAAGGCAGGCGTTCAGCTGCCAAAGGACTTCCCTCAAGCCATAAGGATTTGTTACAAAACAAAGCCGGAAGGAAGATCTCTTAGCTGGACTACAGACCAAAGTGACAGGTATGCAACAGTTCTAACTGTTCTGCTGTTAGTGTTATGTGCCAGATACTGCAGAGTCAAATTGTGAATAATGATCTCATTTTGAGTTCGAATTTAGATGGGTTAGTAGGAAGCAGGCAAAGTTTAGGGCTCATAATAGCTTATGATTATATCACTGTAAGTCTTGATGAAATGAATGCATTGCATAACCCCCAGTACTCAAGGTGGAACAATTGATGTCCCTATGCTTTGGATGAAAGGCTCTGCAAGGCCTGCCTGTTTGACAGAGCTTTTGAAGGGGTTTAAATGGCAGGCATCTTTTTTTTGGGGGGGGAGGATTTGGAGCTTGCTATTTTTATCTTTGTTTTTAGCTGGGGATGTTTGAACTGTTATTGTAACCCACCTCAAACCAAGAAGAAAGGCGGAATATAAATGTTTAAATAAATAAATAGACGTTAAAGGCAGGCAAATATACACTGCAAAACATTCCATCGTTTTATTTATATTTATATTTTCTCTGGTTTCTTATTTATAAAATTGTTTTTTAATGACTGAAAAATAGGTATTCATGGTACCATGATAAATGGTTGCTCTGTTGAATAAGTTGTTAGATGCTTTTAAAAAACTCAGCTAGTATCGGAAGATAGCTTGACATTAGCCAGCAGATAAGTATGTAGTTCATATGCTGTATATAACTTACTATCATATTGAACTCACACACAATAAACATGTGAAATCTTTAAGGTACTGCAATTGTTTCCAGAATCATGCATCTTATCTACTCTGCTACTGTCATCCCAGTTACACATTTGTCAACCTTGGCCATTTTCACATTGTTGTCTTGTCATCTAGTATAAATTACAAGCTACCTGGTCAGGATCCAATTTACTTATATATTCGCTTCAGCAGCTAATTCTTTGGCACGTAAATAAATGTTTAGTGCCCTTGCACTACCATGCCTATTGATTGTAACTCCATACCTGGCTCCTACTATGTCAACAGGGGTCAAAACCTTTGCCCCTGTCCCAACAGCCAAACCCCCATAAAGACAACTTTATTTCATTCTCACTTTACTTCTCTCATTGTTGAGGCAGAACACAACATACCCAGTGCAGAATGTTGTCTCCTGTCCCAGTATTAGTTATTCATCTGCCCTTTTACCAGCAGTGAGTTGTTGTAGCCAATGCAGCAGGATGTATATAAATATAAGTACACGTGAACTCTGGATTATTATTTACACAGACTCAATAACTCTTTGCAGTTTGTGAATAGTTTTTCGGTCTCTGCCTGTTAAGTTTATAGCTTAAGGGTTAATAGCCCTTGTTTAAGAAACTGTTTTGTAATGAATGAAAAATATATATGGTGGTAGAAAGTTAAAATGAGAGTGGAATGTTTAACAATAATGCTCTCATGTACATGACTGTAGCATTTGACAATAAAGCTTTCACTAGAGTTCCACTACACTAACCAAGTTATTCATTCTATAAAAATTAATTGGTTAAAATGAATAATTTTAAATCTTATGTGGATATATTTATCAAACTGCATGTAAACAAAAGGTGTACATTCTGTCACTCTTTCCCCTTCATGGTATACACAGATTTAATCTGGGAAGACCTACTGTTAGTTTGAGACTTTTAGGACTTTATAATCTTATGGAGGCTTAAAAAAAACCTGGGAAGTAGTGTTGTGTTTGTATGTACAGTGAGGTAAATCCAACTATTTTCCTCTGGCTTAGAAGAATGCTCCTCCAATGGAAGAATCACTTAATTGGAGGATGGCTCTTTAGGCTGGAAGGAGGCTTCAGACTTTTCTCAGTGGAGTGTTAGATTCGGTATTCATTTTAAAAAAATGTCTTGAAATTAAGACTTGTCCATGAAGTTGTAAACTTCTGTCTGGGCAGTACCATTTCAAACTGGTGTTGGGGGCTCATATGATGAAATGCTCGTCCATACAGTGTTCCATATACATACAAAATGGACACATCAGGAAGAATAGCTTCCCCCCAAGATTATTTATGGATATGTCATGTAATAGTATTCAATAATATGAACTTCTACCTTCAGTGTGAAGTGGCACAGTCCAAAACACAAATTTCCTACTTTACTGGGGGATGTGTTTATTTGTTTATTTATTTATATTATTTATAGTCTGTCTTTCTCACTGAAACTCAAGGCAGATGACACAGTTATTTATACTCTCCAGGATCCACCCCATACCACATCCAAACAACAGTTGAAACTTCCCTCCTTTTAAAACAATAGCTTGCTATTTAGCATGAGATGCTACAATTTGACTCCAAAGTCTCCCGGAGCACATGGAATTGTTGCTATAGCGTTTTTTATTTGGAATATACTTTGAACTTGTACTTAAACCTCCCAACTACCATATGGAGTAGGTAATAAATACTGATTCTCTTTTGTGTTGTCTAGGTTTGAGGGAGGTTAGGAAGATGTGTGGCAAAGTCATAAAGTTCCCACACAGTGTGTATAATGGTTTGAGCTTGCCTTAAAATCTAGGCTGGGAAGAGTTTATTCATTGACTGTGTGGCTTGTGTAGCATGAGCGGAGTGGAAAGAACCATCATCTAATTGCCTGTAGAAGGCTAATACACAAGCAGACCTCCAAGTAGTTAAAAGCTGGTTCTTCATTTGGCAGTGCTGTATGATTTTTTCCATGTAGCTATTTCAGGTTTGCCTGTGATCCATTTGAACTTGAAAGAAATACAACAGTGCATATGGTTGGAGGGATTTTGCAGGAAGTCTAAAAATGGTGCCCATGATTACAATCACGGCAGTCCCAGTTCACAAAAGCACTATTTCTTCCTTGTGATCATGTGCTTTTGAGTGCCCAAGGCTGAGCATCAGGGAGCTTGATATAATCATGTAAGAGATTTTACCATATTGTATATAGACCTATATGTTAAATAATGACAGTGGCTGAAATCCAGCAATTCTCTATGCATGTGTCTAGGGTTTCTTTATGAGCAACTGGGATTATTCTCCTTTGTTTTACTCCAGCATCTATCTACACACAACAGAGAAACCTGTGGTGCTTGGAATGTATCCTGTCTCTCTGGAGGAGTAGTTGACTGTGGTCTGCTGAAGTAAAGATGAGAAGAATTTTGATATTTGTAATGTGTGATAATGAGTTAGCACCATTCAGTTCAGGCTAATATAATGTGTTGTGATGGATAGTCTTGTTTTTCCCCATGATATTTGAGAGAACGGATTAGAGAATATGAAGATTATTGTTAGTTTCATTTGTGATATTCTTAAGGATATTTTGAACTTTAGCATTAAAGTCTCTGTGTGGGAAGATAAGTGGTCTTGTTGTACTTCCTGTTCCTTCAATAAATATCATGATAAAAGTGTAGGATTACTGAGGAATAGGTTACAGTGTTACTACAATAAAAATCTACTTGTCTGTGTAGCTTTTTCAGTGTTTAATGCCTTGTTTTAAATGTGCAAAACCAGTAATCAAGGATTTGAAAATATTTTCTGCATCTCTGGAAACTAATGTGATCAATTAAGACAATCAGTGGTGGCATCAGAAAAACGCATACACATACACACAAGCCAGTTCTTGGGTTTCGTCTGCATGGCCAGAATTAAACATGATGCAGACAAGGCAAAAGAGCTTTCCCATGTGACTTTGTATCTTATTTAAGTTGTGCAGTGACCCATGCAAAATACACATTTTGTTTGCACACAGAGATTTCTAGCCCATGTGGATATTTTGCTGGCATGCTAATGTAGCACTGAGTTGCAGTGCAGTTTAAATAAGATGTTGAGCTTTAATTACTTAACTAAATCTTGCATTTCTCCCAAATAAAGATCCAAAGTGCCTTATAATACAATACCCTCCCAAGAACTAGTGTTGTGTAGTGGTTAGCGCTTCAGACTAGGATCTGGGAGATCCAGGTTTTAAACCTGGTTCTACTGTAGAAGTTTTCTGGGTGACCTTGGGTCAGTCACACTCAGCTAACCTACCTCACAGGGCTGCTGTGAAGATAAAATGGAGGAGAGAACAATGTAAATTGCTTTGGGTCCCCATTGCGGAGAAAGGAGGGGTATAAATAAACTAAACAAAACAGAAACAGACAAACAAGAAGGGGGAAAGGTCTTCTGAATACAGAGTAGGTTTTTATCTTTCTCCTAGCAGATGTTTTCCTTAGCTGTAGGCAATAACCCTCAGGCGATGAGCTGAAGGTAGGGTTGCCAAGTCGAAAATCGTCGGGAGCGGGGGACTCCCATCTGGCGTCCTATACGCACACACATCACCAGGAAGTGACGTTGTGATGCCGGGCACGCTGTGCGCTCCCGCAGGAAATGACCCCTGCATTCTAGTGATATCATTGGGTGTAGTCCTCCAATGCTTCCTCTAAGCTGTGGAGTCTTGTGAGCAAAAATTTTACTTTGTGAGCTACTGGCATTAAAGTTGTGAGCGAGCGATTCGGCTACTGCATAAATTAGTTTGCTCTGGAGCCATCCTTCCTGAACTAAGACAAAAAAGTGTGAGCCGGAGGCTAAAAAACTGAGCTAGCTCACACTAACTCACCTTAGAGGGAACACACTGGTCCTTTCCTTTCTCCCAGTAAGTAAAAATTGCTGGTTTTTTTTACTACAGTGGGGAAAGCAAACCTCTGCTCTTTGGAAAATACTGTATCAGGAACAAAATCTGTCCTTCCTCCTGATACTAGATGGCCTGGGGCTCCTAGTGACAGAGATTCCACAAAGGGGTATGTGTGCAGTGTATCTTTGGAAACACATTGGCCGATTTCTCACTTGGCACTTACCCCTGGTTTTCTTCGGAGTTTTCTGCCCCGGATCCTTTTTGTCAATTTCACATTTAAAGCATTTCCAGCCAGTCTGCCCTGGGTCTGCTCCAGGGGTTTCATTTTCACATTACAGCCTTGGAGTGGTTTCCTGCAATCTATCTCCTCCCACTCCCGCCCCTCACCCTCCAAACCCCTCCCATCCTCCCTCCAATTCCCCCCTCTCTTTTTTTTAACACATGCTCAATCGTGTTACATCATTATTACGCAATAAAGGGAATGAGCAGGCATCATGTGGCACGTCTCAGCTTTCTGATTGGGAATCTTTGTTCTTTTAGCTGGGAATTTTAAAAAAAGTTCTGGGGATTCTCCATTTTGAACCTCTCATCCCAGATACTTTTGGCCATCTTTCTTCCTTCCCGGTCACTTTTCCCCGCCACTGATTCTGCAAAACAATTGGTCAGCAGGGTAGCCACTATGCATTGATTGGCCAGATGCACTTATCTTGCTTCAAAATGTCGGGGACATAGGCAGGCATAAAATCGTGGATTCATGGTTTTTTAAATATTTAATTCTGCAAGTTGTTGCAATGCCACCACGGAAAAGGCTATAGAACGTTGTGACTCCATCATGTCAGTTCAAAGATCAAATCACTGAAAATGGCAACAAGCACAAATGTGCCAGCATGACATGAAGAAAGAGGTTTACTAGTTTGACCTTTGAGGAATCAAAAAGCACCAGAATAGTCTTCTGTTACCTGGCTTACCGCCCCCCCCCCACTCTTGAGCTCTCGTATCCAATGAAGTGAGCGAGTATATTAAAATGGAGTCCAGGCATTATGTTTGACACGGAGCAAATTGCGGGAAGCTCCGACGAGCGGGGGGGCCGTGAGGCCATGGCCGCCCAGCCCCGGCACGACCCCCGTTGCCGGCCTCCCCCGCGGACCGGCCGCAGAGCATCGCTGTAGCCTCCACCAAGGCCGGTCCCAGCAGCCATGAGGGGAGGGGGGGCCGCCACGAAAGGCGCAGTCCTGGGAAAGGGAGCGGCGGCCCAACTGGCTGAGTGGCCGAGCGAGAGAGCCGCGAGCCCGCAGGCAGCCCGTCCCTAGCCCCCAACGGCCGCCAAGCAGCCTCAAGGGGGAGGGGGCACTGCGAAGGCCCCAGCCTGGAACAGGAAAGGGAGTGGCATGGCGGCAGCGGCCTGACCGGCTGATCTGCCAGACAAAAGAGCTGCTAGGCTGCAAGCGCCCCCACCCACCCCAATGGCCGTCCAGCAGCCGCGGAGGGAAGGGGGGCGCCGCGAAGGCCCCAGCACGGAATGGGAAAGAGAGCGGCGGCGGAGGCCCGACTGGCAGAGCCACCGAGTGAGAGAGCTGCGAGGCCGCAGGCAGCCCGCCCCCGGCCCAGCCCCAATAGGGAGGGGGGGCTAATGGGCGTGGGAAAAGTGGAGAGGGGGGAAGGTAGGCGGGCTAGATTCACTGCGAAGCAAAAGGGAAATCCTGGGATTCAAGTATCGCTCTGAAGCGGTGGAAACTCCGGGCCAGAAGCCGGCTGCGGATCAAATGGTGTGAAATTGACGAGATGCACCGGAGAAAACAGAGGGTTGACCGCGCGAAATCACCCATTGTATCCCCCTCTCCATGTTTCTGCAATATACAATTTCTTCACAAGGGTACACTTCATGACAGTTAACATTCTGCTAATTAGAACATAAACAAGCGGGGGAACTGCCACTATACCCCAATACTTTTTTTTGTAAAAACTGTCAGTACCCCTACCTGAGATGGTACCATTTTCACAAATTCTCTCTCAGGACTTGGGAGAGCTGCCCACCCCCATGGTGCTGGTACTAAGTACTGGTGAATACCACCACAAAAAAAGCCCTTCCCTGGTAGCCTTCATAGCGTCTTCTCTTTTTCTACTTCCTTCTCTTCTTCTCACTCACTAGCCAGCCTACCTTTATCTGCTTCCTTGTTTTCAGCTTTCTCTCTGCCTTGCAGCCTCTACATGGGAAAACTTTGGCTGAGTTGTGCAGTAAAGAACCCACAACAGCTTGCAGGGGGGACCTTACTTTCTCCTCTATCCACTCCCCCACCCTATT